GTCGTCGTCGTCGTCGTCGTCGTCTCGTACGTCGTCGTCGTCGGTACGGACGGAGGAGAGAGAGAGAGAGAGGAGGGAGGGGGGGGAGGAGAGAAGTAATACGGTTTACTGATAAAGCTGTGGAGAGTATGTGCTGCAGGGAGGTGGATGCACAACGCACCCAGGAACGAACGCTAGCTCCGGTCCCTTTTACTGTGGACTCGATGTCCTGACAGGCTGGTATTTGTGCAACCTGCACAAAAACAATACTGCACCATGATGACAACCGCTCAACTCAACGCAACTCCACTATACCCGCGGTCAGAGAGCGGAGATGTGTCCCCTGTGTGATGTAATATGACGCGTTTGACGTGTGACCTTAAAAAAAAGCCGTTTTTAAGAGCAGAGCTCAAAATTGCTCCTTTCCCTCTGAATTCCTGCCCTTATGTCTCGTAAAACCCTGCATTCACTTTTTTAATTGTAATTTTAAAGCAAGTTTAAGCATAAATGTAGAAAAAATAAAAACCTGCAAGATGCTCTTTAAGTAAAGTAACAAAGTATTTGTACTCCGCTACTTCCCACCTCTGACCTTCCTCTGTTGCAGTATAAACTGATAAATGTTCCATTTGAGACCCAGGTATGTACAATAATAGTAAATACACATACACTTGTGTTACGATTTGTAGAATACAGTTTATCTTGTATTTTTCCCAAAACTTGAATTTAATAAAATGAAAAAATATAATGACATTTCTTCAAAACAATGCCTTTGTGGCGTCTATAAAATAATGCAAAGAGAAGCCAAGAGCCTCCTCTAAATCATTAAAGAATACACAACAACACCCCCACATGCTTCCACACACATAGCATGCACACACACACACACACACACACACACACACACACACACACACACACACACACACACACACACACACACACACACAAACACGCTGACACAATCCAAAAAGTGTATAGGCACATACTCTCACATAATTGCACAGCACAATCCTGTTTTCTTTGTTTTTTCTGATCAGCCTTTTTAATTGTGCGTTCTTGCATCTCGCTTGGTGTATTTACAGAAAGCGTAACAAGAACATTGGAGCCAATTATACAAAGAACGGCCTCTAAACGCATCGTCCGGGCGGAGGAATCACAGAAATATTTATCCTGTTTAAAAGTTTAGGAAGGGGAGAAAGGGCCTTGGCACTAAACCCTTTAGTGAGGCAAGGGGAATGAAAACCTCCAGTGTAAAAGGACCTATTAGTCTCAGGACATGGGCATTAGCATGATAGTAGACTTAGCCTCAGGGCTGAAGGAGAGGGACGCTGTCTCTGCGCTTTCAGCTCGCAGGAGAAGGGGGGGTTCCTATACATAAACACACACACACACACAATTTCTCTGATAGGCAGGGAAATGCAAAGTGGGGCCCTATACAGAGCATGAGGCACCCAGTAAATAAGGAGGTGGAGGAGGCAGGGAGGAGAGAGGGCGGGTCGGGTAGTGAAGAAGGGCGAGGAAGAGAGGGGAGAATTAAACTTGCTCACAACAGACCAAGGAGAAGAGAACCATTAAAAGATGTAAGGAGCAATTTGTAAAACTGCAAACGACAACAATGCTTTGCGAGCATGAATAAGGTGTTTATACATTCTTTATCTAACAGTCTCTCTTAAAGCTGCAAATCTTCTACGCTGCACCAGTCTGTAATGATAAGTTAACAGGTGAATTGTATTCCAACCAAAAATGCCCTCCTAAAAATCTCTACTTTTTCATGCTCAGTAAAGAAGAAAAGAAGGGATGGATGCTTGAGTAGAGGAGGTTCAAAAGGATGGGAGGATTCAACCTGTGCAAAAACAAGTTGACCAACCCTTCA